ACCCTAAACCCCAAGCCCTAAATATGGTAGCCCACTGGCTCAGCCCAAGGGCCTGAAATTCCACCACTCTGCACAGGCTCCACGCACTCTCCATCCAGAAATTGTGTCAATCGGGTGTCGGGTTTAGGGTTGATTACTGATTACTCAGGGCGTTTAGGGTATTCTTTCAGGTAGCTGGATTTGGGTTGTTTGGCAGGTCGGCATCCCTTTACCTTGCGCTCGTCCGTCTGGGGGAAGTGTACAGGTTGTGTCATTGGCCGGATATGCTGTAGGGTTTTCGAGATACAGGTAAGGTTCAGCCAAATGTTGAGCGAACAAAGAATCTTAGAGCTTGCAAATCAGAACAGAAAGCTAGGTTGATTCCTGGAGCCTTAACCTTACACCCTCAATGCTTAAACGCTAAAGCTCCAACGGTAAATCCGAGCTTTCGCCTCATCCGGCAGTTCTGCCTGCATCTACTTGTGAAGCCCCTTCCCTCATAGAATCCTACACAAAGCAAAGCTTTGGGGCCCGATCTTGCAATGTTCTCCGTCTGAGCAAACACTATTACTGAGTAGTTCTAAATTGGGGTCCAGTTTAGGGTCCTTTCTACAAGGGTGCCGTGCTATGTTGGGGGCCTAAAAAGAGACCTAAATTTCGAGAATGACCCATATTTTTGTACGTTTAAACCAGCGCAGAAATTCTTCTGCTGGCCAGGCCACCTAAAATGCACCTCCTTTACTCCGAGTCCTCAGCCAATGATACACATGCTAGTGCGACAAAACTTTCAGCATGCCAAGTTTCGCTACTCGGATCCGAGTGCAGGACATCCGAGCAGCCGGAGCATCTCATCGGCCTGAACCAGGAAATATGAGGGATTCAGCAGACAGGGGCGCCTTCCTTCAGGTGTGCTTATGGTATAAAGATTTCATTATTTCGGACTTTGCATAACAGTCCTTTCTCATGGGGTTTTGACGTTTACGTTCGAGTTTGGCAAAATTTCGGTTCTGGGTTGTCGAGTAGCATAGATATTGGGGAGACGAGATGTGCAACCCAAAGATCTGATGCTTGAGCATAATGAGCTGTCGATGCCAACCCCAGACCCGAGACACCAATCATTGCATCGTGCAGCCCGTTTTCTCGATTCACAGCATGCAGAGGAATGAAGCGGTTCTTCAGCCTGAGCTCCAAATGACATCCAATTCCCGGAGGAAAGCACGAGGCTTCTTGGCATGTCGCGTCTTCCTGACAGGAGGTGCGGGAGCGAACGTATCAACATGAAACGCCTTCGGAGAACCCGGCCCAGTTGGCAGCAGGCTCGGCGCTTATAGGTACAAAGGGATCTGAACTTTGTTTCGGCCGAGAGCTCGCACCATGAGTAGTCCTTTGTGCAACTACTGCGAATCCTCCTATCACGGAGCTCTTGAATTCAGTGAAGTTCCCTTATCGTGATTGACGTGCCATCAGTATGTGCACATCTGGTGATGTTGGGCTACGACTTAGGGAGGCGCGGACGTAGGAAGGCGATGCGTCAGCTGTGTTCAGGGCTCAGACTGGTTGTGGTTGTTGTTGTTGTGGTGATAAGTTCTGCACATGCGTCGTTGGGTTGTTGCATGTCAAGGTCTTTTCCGAGCATATCTCTTGGTTTGTGGTGTATTGCCGTTGGAACTTGTTCTCGTGACTTGCACTTGCAGAAGGCTTCAATGACTTAACACTCTAAAACTAAGCCCCAAGGGAAGCCACAACCCCCACCTCAAATCGTACGCTGCAAGCATATTGACCCCGAGCCCTCCCGAAATCTCATGTCCGAAACCCTAACCCCAAAACCCTGAAGCCCAATTCCTCACTGATGCTGGGATCGCATGTCCGAAAACTCACCAGGTTTTGGGGAGTTCGACTAATAATTTTGTTTTGAAGACTCAAGGAGGAAGATGTCTTTGCTTTGGGTTCAGGGTCTAAGTCAACGGTAACAGGTTAATGTCTTTGGTTTAGGGCCTCGGGTTACATATGACTCTTGGCTCTTTATTAGTGCAGCTTTTTGCGGTGTTCAGGCTTAAGGCTTTGGGTTCGCATTTAGGTCTTGGAGTCAATTCGGGGGCATGCATAGCTGATGAGATGATTATGATCCCCATAATAACGGCGGGCCCACTACAATTAGGAACATTACTCAAGCGGGTTGCGAATGTAACTAGACTAGAACAACCTTCTTCTAATCGTGAAGGCCCTCACATTACATTCTGTTTCACTATTATTTTCTTTCTAAAATCTAACCCATAACCCCCCCACCCCTACAGTCCTGTTCGAAGTCTTCAGGCCCGCAATACTACATTAACTATGTAGACTCGCGGCCTCCCCTTCTCCAGTCTCAAGCATAAACATTGTATAAGAAGGACCAAACCCGTCTCGCTACTAGACGTCATTCATGGTTCTTTCCAGGGTTTGGCAGGGTTTGGCTAGGTTTCGTTATAGGTTCCTGGAGAGTCCAATACCTTATATGGAAATATGAAGAGCCGATAACGGGGTTCATAGCTGCCAGAGGTCCAGCGTCTAGAATCTGGTCTTGGACCAGGTGTTCGGTTGCTTGTGGGCGTCCCGCAATCTAGTGGATCCCGCAACGCTCCAAACACTTCAGACCAGCACTACTTGGAGGTTCATGGGTAGTTATAAGTGGAGTTGTAAGTCCCCTAATATGGGTTATAAATACAGCTACCCTGCTTTATAACCCCACTTATAGCTACCCATGAACCTCCAAGTAGACCACCTTATGCAAACAGGTCGAACCCTGAGCTGCCAACCTGAAGCCTAAACGCCCCCAAGCCTGAACACCCTAAAGCCACACTTCGACCACCCTTGCTGAGCCTGGTAGAACCCCGATAGAACGCCAAACCCGAATAAAAATGCAATACACCCAATACACTGAATGCGCGGTTTAGGGTGCAAGGTTAAGGGTGCATACACTCAATTCACTCAATCAACCTTCCGACGGGCTCACACGAGGACTCCAACGCCGATTGCTTGAACAGGAGCTTCCCGCGAATTCTAAGAGGAACCCAAACATGATTTAAGGGTTTACTTTTTAGGGTTCAGGGTTTAGGGTTTAACCTGGATTCCAGCCCCCCTTCAAAACCCCGAACTGACCCTAAACCCTACTATGATGTAGCGCTTAGGTTTTCAATTGAGTTAGAACCCGAGTATGAGTTCCCGTTTTTTCCTTGATTCCTCCCTCATTATTCATGTTCCTTTTGTTCTTTGCAAAGCTCCAGGCTTAAACGCGGGCTTGCCGCGACCAAGCTTGCCGATGTCGGACCGGGCTGTAAATATGAGGGTCGGAATGATTACAATTGCAAATGCTATTCCTTAGGGTTCCTTAGGAGCTGAAGGTGATTTCAAATTTATGAGTTTTACGTTTGTGGGTCTTGATGTCGCTTGGACCACATTCAAGAAGCCAGTGTTGCGCATCGGACAGGACATGCGACAGATGCTGGACAGCAAGATCAACTTCGGCAACATTGGGCAGAAGCTCGTCCAAATGAGTAGCATGCAATCGCCTCTGGTTCAGAACTCATCATGAGCGAGCACGTGTCGAAGGGCTCGTTCGGCGACGCTACGAACCCTTATCTTGCACTAACCGGAAAGCAGGAGAAGGTCGTTTCCCGAGACCGCAGGCGTAGACCCACAACTTCGAACCGAATCCGAAGCCTAAATTCTCCAACTTAGCCCCTGAGCCCGAAGTCTTGAACTCTCGCATCTTGATCTTGTAGATCGCCCGAACTCATTCTCTTTCTGGTCCTGTTTTGACGACGACGTCGACGATGCCGACGGCGACGACGGGGTTTGTGTTTACCCCAGCTATTGATGGTGCTGATGGGGCTCCTCAAAGTCAGAAGAAGCATAGTGGTGACGTGTCTTGGATACTGATCATGAGCAGTCGTAGCGTTCCTGACTCATGGGCAGGCAGCAGGAGAGAGGGCAAGCAAGGCATTCGCCAGCGAGCGTTTTTGGTTAGGCTGTTTTACACAGGCGTCTTTGACGGGCAGTATAAACAATCACACCTCTTATAATTTTGAACCAGGTCACAACACACAGACGGAGCAAGTTCACAGCACCATGTAGCAGGTGAACCACCACGGCCACGACCCCTACGACTATTGTATTAGTAAGTACCGTGCTCTGGCTAGTACTGGTTCTTCTTACAACTCTAACTACTAGTCCTCCTACTACTACTAC